GGTGAGCGCCACCCATGAGCACCCACCCATGAGTAGCTGAGTGCCACCCATAAGTAGCTGGAGCTGAGCACCTTTGGGGAGGTGAGCGCCACCCATGAGTAGCTGAGCGCCACCCATAAGGGCTGAGTACCTTTGGGGAGGTGAGCACCACCCATGAGTAGCTGAGCACCACCCATGAGTAGGTGAGCGCCACCCATAAGGAGCTGAGCACCTTTGGGGAGGTGAGCACCACCCATGAGTAGCTGAGCGCCACCCATAAGGAGCTGAGTACTTTGAGCACCTTTGGGGAGGTGAGCACCCACCCATGAGTAGCTGAGCGCCACCCATAAGAGGCTGAGCACCTTTGGGGAGGTGAGTGAGTAGCTGAGCCACCCATAAGGGTGACCCATAAGGGGCTGATCACTTGTGAGGAGGTACCACTGACAAATGGATGAGTGCCATCCATAAGGAACTGAGCACCACCTTTGGGGAGGTGAGCACCACCCATGAGTAGCTGAGTGCCACCCATAAGGAACTGAGCACCACCTGTGAAGAGGTGACCACTACTGACGAATGGCTAAGTGTCACCCATAATGAGCTGAGCACTATCTGTGAGGAGATTTTCACCACCCATACAGAGCTGAGCACCACCTGTGAGGAAAGTGAGCACTACCCATGAGTAGTGTAGTGCCACCTGTGAGATTATCACCACCTATGAGTAGCTGAGTGCCACCCATAAGGAGCTGATCACCACCTGTAAGGAGGTAAACACCACCCATGTGTAGCTAACTGCAACCCATAAGGAGCTGATCACCAGCTGTGAGTTAGTGAGCATCACCCATGAGTAGCTAAGTGCCACCCATAAGGAGCAGAGCACCACCTGTGAGGAAGTGAGCATTACCCATGAGTAGCTTAGTGCCACCTTTGAGGAGATGATCACCACCCATGAGTAGCTTAGTGCCACCTGTGAGGAGATTATTACCACCTATAAGTAGATGAGTGACATCCATAAGGAGCTGATCATCACCTGTGAGGAGGTGGGCACCGCCCATGAGTAGCTGAGTGCCACCCATAAGGAGCTGAACACCAGCTGTGAGGAAGTGAGCATCACCCATGAGTAGCCAAGCGCCACCCATAAAGAGCTGAGCACCACCTGTGAGGAGATGATCACCACCCATGAGTAGCTAAGTCTCACCCATAAGGAGCTGAACACCACCTGTGAGGAAGTGAGCACCACCTATGAGTAGATAAGTGATACCCATAAGGAGCTGAGCACGAGCTGTGAGGAAGTGAGCATCACCCATGAGTAGCAAAGCACAACCCATAAGGAGCTGAGCACCACCTGTGAGGAGATGATCACCACCCATGAGTAGCTAAGTGCCACTCATAAGGTGCTGAACACCACCTGTGAGGAGATGATCACCACCCGTGAGTAGCTAAGTGCCACCCATAAGGTGCTGAGCACCATCAGTGAGGAGATGATCACCACCCATGAGTAGCTAAGTGCCACCCATAAGGAGCTGAACACCACCTGTGAGGAAGTGAGCACCACCTATGAGTAGATAAGTGATACCCATAAGGAGCTGAGCACGAGCTGTGAGGAAGTGAGCATCACCCATGAGTAGCAAAGCACAACCCATAAGGAGCTGAGCACCACCTGTGAGGAGATGATCACCACCCCACCTGTGAGGAGATGATCACCACCCGTGAGTAGCTAAGTGCCACCCAAAGTGCTGAGCACCATCAGTGAGGAGATGATCACCACCCATGAGTAGCTAAGTGCCACCCATAAGGAGCTGAACACCACCTGTGAGGAAGTGAGCACCAGCTATGAGTAGCCAAGTACCACCCATAAGGAGCTGAGCACCACCGGTGAGGAGGTGATCACCACCCATGAATAGCTAAGTACCACCCATGAGGAGCTGAGCACCACCCAAAAAATAGCTTAGTGACCCCTACAAGGAGCTGTGCTGTGCCTATGTACAGTTTCATATAGGACCTATCACTTGTGTCTTCACCACGGTCATGTATGGCATGATGGGAGAAATTCTCCAAGCAATAAAACATAAAATCAGACATGTAGTGATGAAATGTCATACGTCATGTAGCCTAGAAATATGAGAAACAGACGCGCCATTTTCTATCATCCAATAGGAAGAGGCGCCGTGCTCACTAAAGCCGCCTCGGGATTGGCCAGGCCAAGAGATTGTGCTTCTTCTTGGGGGCTGGTGAAGGAAATCAGTGTCCCCTCCCCCTAAATCTCATCAGCGGCAGAGAATCCTGAAGCCTTTAACTCTACAGCCAGCAACCCTGGCGCTTCCAGCTGATTGGAGAGCTCTAGTAGGGGGCGTGGCAGACCTCTGCAGAGAGACCACTGCTTCCACACAGGAGAGCAAGGGTTTCTCCTCTGCAGCATGCTGGCGGGAGACGGGCTTTCCTACTCAGGCTTTCTTTGCACACTTGTCCTGATGCCCCTGGAACGAATTTATCTTCTCTAACGTGAAGGTTCGATTGGGATTTAAAGCGAACTTTCAATATATTTTTATTTTATTATCTGTATAAAACATTTATTTTACACAATAAAAAGGGTTACAAAACATTCATAACACTGAACTGCTTCTGTAGACTGACTAATCCAGGCCATCCCATTTCTGAAGGTTTCCCTCTCATTCAGCTAGGTGTGTGTAGTCTGATCTCTCCTGCTATTCACAGCATAGCAGTAGATCGAGCTGGAGATGTAGCCTCAAGCTGCCACCTGCTGGCTGTAAGCGGTGATCACGCCAGATATGTTTTTTATCTCAGACCATAATAAATAAAGAAAAAAAAAACAAAAGAGCTCCGCCTTCCTTTTTACTCCTTTTGCCTCACTCCAGGCCCGGAGACAGGGAAGGGATCCCTAAAAATTTGAAATATGGGAGGTGAATTGTGTGCTTAGACCCCGTTCTTCCATCCTGGCGAGCCTGAAGAGCGACAGGTCTCCTTTCAGAGGTAAGTCTACCTCTCTCTATGAAGGCTCCCTTCTTCCCTACAGAATGGGAGCGCCTCCGCGTGGGGCGGCCCAGGGCTCGGCCAATCAGGATGCTGAAGCATCTCACGAGATGGACATCGATATTTAGAGAGTTTTCCGTTTATTTTTCACAACTCTACAAAAATACAGTTCTATCTGGAGAGTAAAATGGACATTTTGTTTTATTTCCCGGTGCGGGGAACGTACGTAGGAGGAAGCCATAGTTCATACAGACCTTACACGTGGAGTGTCCATGTTGTGCGGAAATGTAAGTACCCGAGGGTTCTATGGAGAGGCCTCTTCACATTACACTCAACACACGGAGGCCCGCGCACACCGGCGCTACATGTTCATTAACAGAGTTCAGGAGTGAGACATCCCCTTCCCCCAATGGACTCTTCTACTGGTTGGGTGACCATCAGGCGGGCTGGAATCCAGGTGGTGATTAGGGTCAGAGATCAGGAGTCAACCATCCCCTTCCCCCAATGGACTCTTTTACTGCTTGGGTCACCATCCATCATGCTGGAATCCAGGTGGTGATTAGTGTCAGAGATCAGGAGTCAACCATCCCCTTCCCCCAATGGACTCTTTTACTGGTTGGGTCACCATCCATCATGCTGGAATCCAGGTGGTGATTAGGGTCAGAGATCAGGAGTCAACCATCCCCTTCCCCCAATGGACTCTTTTACTGGTTGGGTCACCATCCATCATGCTGGAATCCAGGTGGTGATTAGGGTCAGAGATCAGTAGTCAACCATCCCATTCCCCCCTATGGACTCTTTTACTGGTTGGGTGACCATCCATCATGCTGGGATCCAGGTGGTGATTAGGGTCAGAGATCAGGAGTCAACCATCCCCTTCCCCCAATGGACTCTTTTACTGGTTGGGTGACCATCCATCATGCTGGGATCCAGGTGGTGATTAGGGTCAGAGATCAGGAGTCAACCATCCCTTTCCCCCAATGGACTCTTTTACTGGTTGGGTGACCATCCATCATGCTGGGATCCAGGTGGTGATTAGGGTCAGAGATCAGGAGTCAACCATCCCCTTCCCCCAATGGACTCTTTTACTGGTTGGGTGACCATCCATCATGCTGGGATCCAGGTGGTGATTAGGGTCAGAGATCAGGAGTCAACCATCCCTTTTACCCCATGGACTCTTTTACTGGTTGGGTGACCATCCATCATGCTGGAATCCAGGTGGTGATTAGGGTCAGAGATCAGGAGTCAACTATCCCCTTCACCCAATGGACTCTTCTACTGGTTTGGGTGACCATCCATCATGATGGAATCCAGGTGGTGATTGGGTTCAGAGCTCAAGAGCAAACCATCCCCTTCCTCCAATGGACTCTTCTACTGGGCAGGTGACGATCCAGCAGGCTGGAATCCAGGTGGTGATTGAGTTCAGATATCAGGAGCAGTCTATCCCCTTCCTCCTATAGACTCTTCTCCTGGCCAGGTGACCATCCAGTAGGCTGGCACCCAGGTGGTGATTGGGGTCGGGGATCAGGAGTCAACCATCACCTTCCTCCGATGGACTTTTCTACTGGTTGGATGACCATTGCATGGGCTGGAATCCAAGTGGTTGTTTGGGTCAGTTATCAAGAGTGAACTATCCCCTTCCCCTGAAGGACTCTTCTACTGGTTGGGTGACCATCCAGCGAGCCAGGATCCAAGTGGTGTCAGAGTTCAGGGGAGAACAACTAGAATCCCTCGATGGACTCTTCTACTGGGATCCAGGTGGTTGTGTCTTACTGGTCAGGCAACCCTCCAGCAGATCAGAATCCAGGTGGTGAATGGGGGTTCTTTTGGCACGGGGGGGGGGGGGGGGGGAGGCTCACTCGGCAGTGAAATTCTTGGAAGCGACAGTCAGTTTTTTTAAGGTGCAAATATTACGTCGCTGAATAAAATAAAAACGACTGGGCGGCGCGTGGCCAGTGCGTCATTGTCAACACAATGTGTGTTTGGCACCGACAATACAAAGCATGGGGAGACAAGGTGCGGGTCTGTCCCTCTCACTGCAGTCCTCCTCCACTCAGCACCAGACCCCTAAGTTCCCCCGCACTGAGCCCCGTGTCCGTGTCTTCCTGGTCTGTGTCCAGAGACTCGTCATCGCTCTGTCCTCCCAACATCACCTGCTGGACTGCCAACGTGGCCCCATCCGAGGTCAGGGACTGCAGACTGTCTGTGCCTAGAACGCTCGGAGAGGACAGCGTCACTTCTGCACCTGTAAGGGAAGAAACCCCAGAATGAGACCAGCGGAGAACAGAGAACACAAAAAACACCCTAAAATCTGGTCCTCGTAGTTCATTGAGGGACACGGGAATTCAGAGACTATTATGGCGCCCAAAAAGCAGTTGTGGTGCCCAAAAAGCAGTCCAACCGAGGGGTGGCCAACATCAGAAATCACCTAAAGACCAGGCCAAGTCTGACCTATAAATTTTTTTTTTTTTTTTTTGGCTATAAAATTACTTAGAACCCCTAAACACTAAATATAATTTTTTTTTTTTTACGCAGAGGCCCTACAGAACAAAATGGTGGTCATTGCGAATTATTTTTTAACGTCACACATTATTTGTACAGGGAAAGAAAAATGTGTAATGAACTTTAATGCAAAAAAACAACACAATATATGGTCCGACTTGTTGTTGTAAAATATAAAAAAGATGACGTTACGCCGAGTAAATAGATACCCAACAGGCCATGCTTTAAAACTGCGCATGCTCGTGGAATGGTGACAAACTACCTAAAAATTTCCAAAGGCGAAGCTTTAAAAATGTTTTGCGGGTTACCAGTTTACGGAGGAGGTCTAGTCCTAGAATTACTGCTCTCGCCAGAAAGTTCGCAGCGATACCTCATATGTGGTGCGAACAATGTACACACGTGTGTGCGAGACCTATGCATGCGTTCGCTTCTGCCCATGAGCACGTGGGGACGGGGGTGCTTTAAAAAAAAAAAAATTAAAAAGCTTTTAGTTTTTAATACTGTTCCTTGAATTTTTTTGTTTTCTTTTTTTGCTATCCCAAGAAATGTAAACGTCCCTCATGACAGCAATAAGCAGCGACAGGTCCTCTTTATGGAGACATCTGGGGGATCTTTAAGACCCCAGACCTCTCCTTTACCCCTGAAAGCATCAGATTAAAAAAAAAAAACAAAAACATTGATCTCATGCTTTCCAGAAAATAAATGTCTTTCCTTAACCGGGAGTGAGGAAACGCTCGTTGCTTACAATCTCTTAGACCATAGAGGTGATCAGAGATGATCTGGTCCCCGTTCAGCTCCATGATCAGTTGCCTGGTTCAGTGCCGGGCTCTCCGATCTTACAGAAGAACCTCAGAAACACTGGTGGCCGGCGGGAGGGGGTGGGACAACCTCTACCACCACCTGTAAAAAAAAATTTTAAAAAAAGATCCAGCGGTTAATTAGCCACTAGGATTGCTTTTACGTTGTAGGGCTTCTTCGGATGATAAAAATAATAACATGGTTACGGTTGACCGCTACGGCCATGGCCCCAGTGAAACTGCTTGAACAAAATGGCGTGATGTGGCAAGTGGATAAAACAGGTCCACAAAAGAATAACAGAACCTGAGGACTGACTGCAGCTCAAAGAACCACCTGAAGGACCTTATACTTAAAGCTGACATTAGTTGAGGCCTGAACATCCACCTGGCAGAACTTCAATAAATGTGAACAGGAGGTATGGTGGCCCTGCAAATCTGCGATGGCGTACATGTACGTGATTGTGCGGCAAGTGGATAAAACGGGTCCACAAAAGAACAACAGAACCTGGGGACTGAGTGCAGCTCAAAGAACCGCCTGAAGGCCCTTATGTCCAAAGCTGGCATCAGTTGAGGTCTGAACATCCACCTGGTAGAACCTCAATGGTGTACATGTATGTGATTGTGCGGAAAGTAGATAAAACAGGTCCACAAAAGAACAACAGAACCTGGGGACTGAGTGCAGCTCAAAGAACCGCCTGAAGGCCCTTATGTCCAAAGCTGGCATCAGTTGAGGCTGAACATCCACCTGGTAGAACCTCAATGGTGTACATGTATGTGATTGGCGGAAGTAGATAAAACAGGTCCACAAAAGAACAACAGAACCCGGGGACTGACTGCAGCTCAAAGAACCACCTGAAGGACCTTATACTTAAAGCTGACATTAGTTGAGGTCTGAACATCCACCTGGCAGAACTTCAATAAATGTGAACAGGAGGTATGGTGGCCCTGCAAATCTGCGATGGCGTACATGTATGTGATTGTGCGGAAAGTGAATAAAACAGGTCCACAAAAGAGCAACAGAACCTGGGGACTGACTGCAGCTCAAAGAACCGCCTGAAGGCCCTTATGTCCAAAGCTGGCATCAGTTGAGGCCTGAACATCCACCTGGTAGAACTTCAGTAACGTGAACAGGAGGTATGGTGGCCCTGCAAATCTGAGAAACAGCTCCTGATGCCGATGGTGAAACCCGATCTTTGGGACCATAATTCCTAATGAGGTTTTGCCTGAGCAGCTGAGAAATGGCGCAATGAGGTTCCCCTTTACACAGGCCATTAAGAATGACCAAGAGGGAGTCGGTCTTTCTAGTGGAAGCCATATCTGCGAGGAGACACATAACATGAACAGGAGGTATGGTGGCCCTGCAAATCTGCCATTGTGTACATGTACGTGATGCAGCAAGTGAATAAAACAGGTCCACAAAAGAACAACAGAACCTGGGGACTAATCGCAGCTCAAAGAACCCCTTGAAGGACCTTATGTCCAAAGCTGGCATCAGTCGAGGCCTGAACATCCACCTGGTAGAACCTCAATGGTGTACATGTATGTGATTGTGCGGAAAGTAGATAAAACAGGTCCACAAAAGAACAACAGAACCTGGGGACTGACTGCAGCTCAAAGAACCACCTGAAGGACCTTATACTTAAAGCTGACATTAGTTGAGGCCTGAACATCCACCTGGCAGAACTTCAATAAATGTGAACAGGAGGTATGGTGGCCCTGCAAATCTGCGATGGCGTACATGTACGTGATTGTGCGGCAAGTGGATAAAACAGGTCCACAAAAGAGCAACAGAACCTGGGGACTGAGTGCAGCTCAAAGAACCGCCTGAAGGCCCTTATGTCCAAAGCTGGCATCAGTTGAGGCCTGAACATCCACCTGGTAGAACTTCAGTAACGTGAACAGGAGGTATGGTGGCCCTGCAAATCTGAGAAACAGCTCCCTGATGCCGAAGGTGAAACCCGATCTTTGGGACCATAATTCCTAATGAGGTTTTGCCTGAGCAGCTGAGAAATGGCGCAATGAGGTTCCCCTTTACACAGGCCATTAAGAATGACCAAGAGGGAGTCGGTCTTTCTAGTGGAAGTCATAGCTGCGAGGAAGACACATACAGTTGTGTTGAAAATACTAGCAGTCAGACATCACTAACCGATCAATCACTGTTTTTGGTGGAAATGATATTTCTACATGGCAGATAATTTTCCTAGCCGGTGTAGTAGAGTCATAGAAATCCAACAGACCCGACAGTCATGACATGCATGCTGCTGATTCTGTGTCATTGAATCACTCATTGAAAGGGGCGTGTTCACAATAATAGCCGTGTGGAGTTCTATTAGTGACGTCATTCATTCTTTGATAAACAGGTGGCAATGATTGCCCTTATTTAAGGAAGGAAGGCAGCAAATGTTGGACATGCTGGTTACAGTGCATTTCTCTCTGAAATTCTGAGGAAAATGGGTGGTTCCAGACATTGTTCAGAAGAACAGCGTACCTTGATTAAAAAGTTGATTGGAGGGGAAAACATATAAAGAAGTGCAGAAAATGATCGGCTGCTCAGCTAAAATGATGGCAAATGCTTTAAAATGGCAACCAAAACCTGAAAGACGGAAGAAAGCGAAAAACTACCATTGGAATGGATAGAAGAATAGCCAAAATGGGGCGGACTCAGCCAACAATCAGCTCCAGGAAGATGAAAGAAAGTGTGACGTTCCCTGTGAGGACTCAGCCAACAATTAGCTCCAGGAAGATGAAAGAAGGTGTGACGTTCCCTGTGAGGACTCAGCCAACAATCAGCTCCAGGAAGATGAAAGAAGGTGTGACGTTCCCTGTGAGGACTGTTACAATTAGAAGACGCCGATGTGAAGCCAAGCTATCTGCAAGAAGTCCCCGCAAAGTCCCACTGTTGGGAAAAAGACGTGTGCTGAAGAGGTTACAATCTGCCAAAGAGCACATTGACCGGCCTAAAGAGAAATGGGGCAACATTTTGTGGGCTGATGGAAGTAAGATTGTTCTTTTTGGGTCTAGTGGGCGGAGACAGTTTGTCAGACGACCCCCAAACACTGAATTCAAGCCACAGTACACTGTGAAGACCGTGAAGCATGGCGGTGCAAGCATCATGATATGGGGATGTTTCTCATACTACGGTGTTGGGCCTATTTATCACATACCAGGGATCATGGATCAGTTTGAATCCATCAGAATACTTGAAGAGGTCATGCTGCCTTATGCTGAAGAGGAAATGCCCTTGAAATGGGTGTTCCAACAAGACAACGACCCCAAACACACCAGTAAACGTGCAACATCTTGGTTCCAGACCAACAAGATGGACGTTATGGAGTGGCCAGCCCAATCCCCGGATCTTCATCCAATAGAAAACTTGTGGGGTGACATCAAAAATGCAGTTTCTGAGGCCAAACCAAGAAATAGAGAAGAACTGTGGAATGTGGTCCAATCATCCTGGGCTGGAATACCTGATCACAGGGGCCAGAAGTTGGGGGACTCCATGCAACACAGATGTACAGCAGTTCTCAGAAACAGTGCGACTACAACCAAATATTCATGAAGTCATTCAAAGGAAAGCAAAATCTTCAAACATTTCTCAGTTTATATAGTGAATGTTGGAGTTTGGAAAGAAGAATACAAACACGGCCATTTTTTTGAACCGTCTAATATTCACTTTTCTTCCATTTTTTTAGAGGAACAACACAAATTTGATGTATTTTTCTTCATGTTGTGATTTGGAATAGAATGTGTCGTGTTCCCAATGCATTTGTGTGGATGGAAATAAAAGGATTAGAAGGATTTGCAGCTTTAGTCACTTTTTCCAACACACTGCTATGATTTTGAACACAACTGTACAACATAAATCATATCCAAGTAATGAAGAAAAGTCTCCTTCTGATGACCTTCAGCAGGACAAAAAGGATGGGAGAACAATGTTCTGGTTGAGGCAAAAGGCCGAGTCTACCTTGGGACATTCTGGGTCTCAACACCACCACAAAACGGGCTCCTTACAGGATAAACCGCCAGTTCAGACACTCTTCTCGCAGAGGTGAGGCAAAAACTCAAACTATAAATGACAGTGGAAAGGAGAATATTCCTGATTGGCTCAAAGGGTGGAAGTGCCAAGACAACAGAAAGTCCAATGGAGTCAATGGGGACCGCACGGCAGTAGCCATGACAGACTCCTGGCACAACCGTCTTTGGAACAAGACTGACCTTTGATGGTACCCAAGGCCAACTAATGTACTAGGCCCATTCATTAAAAGGCCAGGATTTGTCCCACATAGAATTTTCGGGGTGAAAATTTGTACCTTGTACCAGGCAATTTATGCCTTCCAGGAGTAATGGAAAATGTTGTGGGAAGGAGATTTCTTAGCCTTTAGCATCAGAGGATTCACCGATTCAGAGATGTCCATCCCCCAGGACCTAGGCTTCAACAACCATGCGGTTTGAAGCCAGCAACCCTAAACCAGTCCCAGGACAGAAGATCTGGAGAGTGTCAGATGGGGTGGGAGTAATTCCTCCGCCCGGCCCAATCTGGAGCTGTAGGAATCATTGAAATGCCTCCATCTTGATACTGTGGAGCAGATCAGTAAAAAGTTCTAAGGGAGAAAAGATGTAGATCAGACTGTACTGAACCAACAGAGCCACCAGGGCATCCACAGCTTCTACCAGAGGATCCCTGGACCTGGAAAGAAACCTGTTCAGTTTATTGTTGAACCTGGAGGCCAGAAGGTCCACATACACCAACCCCTACCTGTGACAAAGGTTCTGGAACACTTCTGGGTGTAGGGACTAATCTCCCTGGGTGTAAGCACTACCAGTCAAGGTAGTCTGTCTGCCAACTGTCCATGCCTGAGATGCAGCAGAAGACAGAAGACAAGGCTAAAACATGTGGAACACTTTTGCCCTCCTTTGTCATTGCAAGACTTCTGGTTCCTCTCTGAAGGTTGATGTACACCACTTCTGTGGCATTGTTGGACTGGATTCTAATTGGATGACCCTCTAAACCAAATCGCTTAACGTTCCAGAATGTTGGAGACAAGGTACAATGATGTCCAAGTTCTCTTCACTTACAGGGTTCCCAGAACTCTCCCTTAGCCTGGCAGGCTGGCATCTACCATGAGGATCTTCCTGAACCATCAGAAGGATTTATTTGACTCCAATGCATGATTCCTAAGCCACTAGGTCAGGGACAACCTGATCCTTAGGGCCAGACTGGTCCAGCATAACAGGATGTTGTGTTGTAGGAGTCGGAGATGGAACTGGACAAACAGGACAACCGTGAAATTGGCTACCATCAGCTCCAGAACTCTCATGCAGAAGTGAAGAGTTGGGTGGCTCCTGGACTGAAGAGTCCGAGTTTAGGAACGGGGAGTTGAAAGTTTCCCCCGGGCAAGAAATACTCTGGCTTGAGTTGTGTCTAGAATTAGACCCAAGTATACCAGGCAATGAGTCAGTTTCAGGAGCAGTTCTGGAGGTTCATGGACAGCTTAACCTTCAGTTGGTCTGGACTGTTGCAGCTGCACTGTCAGCCAGAACCTACGCCAACTGCTACCTCAGGCAGGAGGCCATTCGGATATTTCACAATGGAAACACAGCAAGGCTAGTGCGGGGGCTAGCACCTTGGTGTGCAGAAGATATGTCAGGGCCAAAAACTGGAATTGCTCAAATCCCATAGCAAAGTGAAGTACTGAAAAAAAATGGGGACATTCAGGTAAGTGTCCATGATGTCCACAGAGGCCAAAAGGTCTCTGTTATGAAGAAAGGCTATGACAGACCTGGTGGATTTGATTCAGAATTTCTGGGCCCAAATGAAGACATTTAGGGCCATAAGATCCAAGATGGGGTGTATGCCCTTTCTGGTGTGGGGACTAGATCGGTTGGAGTAGAACCTCTGGAACCATTCTGTAACAGGTACTGGGGTAATAACCCTGCGCTCCATAAGTTGGCTGCATGGAAATCCAGTAATCTGTGCGGTGATGTAGGTAGGTTGAAGGACATGAACCGAGGAGGGAGCTGAAAGTGCAATGCAAGCCTGAAGCCCATCTTCCTCACCCAAGCATCTGAGATGCTGGATGACCAAATGTCCCCACACTTTGGATAGTGGAGGTACCCCCATCCTGGAGAAAATTTATCTGAGGGTTTGTAGGCAGACCAGTTTTGAGGCCTGAGAGTAAAGAAACTCTTTCTGGTCTCGAGGAAGAACAAGCCTTCCCAGGACTGAGCCCCAGGCTTCTTCTACTGTGGCAGACGGGTACTCTTGCCCCCAATAACATCCTTAATAAGGGTTTCCAGGGAGCTCCAAAGAGAAAATGTCACATTCCAGGCAAACCCCACAACATCCAGACCAGCGAGGTCCAGGAATGGCTTCCAAAGCTACAGCTAAGAATCCTCTGGTCTGGAGAGCTGCGTGTAGAGCCCGGATCTGCAGCTTGTCGAGGACTATTGACTGAAGAAAAACGGCCGGAAAACGGGCTGCAGAGACATCCATCCTCCTGGTAAAAAACTATATATTTGTCACCCAGAGTCCAAATCCTACTGAAAGTGCCGGCATAACCCAACAGTCTCTGAATTCTGGTGTCCCTCAATGAACCCCAATAATCCCTCCGCACAGGAAGGACTCTTGACCACAAAGGAGACGACCACAACACCCAACTAGAAGGATGAAGAGACAGATAGATGAGGGGGCCAACCTGACACTGGAGGGGGAAGGGGGGGGTGTCTGGTAATAGGATGAGAAAGAGGGGAGGGGGCTGAGGGAGAGGATGGGGGGGAGCAGGTCGTCTCTTGTGATTGGGGCTGGGGGAAGGTTGACTCTTGTGATGGGGGGGAGCAGGTCGTCTCTTGTGATGGTGGGAGAAGGTCGTCTCTTGTGATGGGGGGAGCAGGTCGTCTCTTGTGATGGGGGGAGCGGGTCGTCTCTTGTGATGGGTGGAGCGGGTCGTCTCTTGTGATGGGGGAGCAGGATTCTTTATTGTGATTGGGGAAGCAGGTTGTCTCTTGTGATGGGGGGAGCAGGTTGTCTCTTGTGATGGGGGGAGAACAGGTCGTCTCTTGTGATGGGGGGGGAACAGGTCGTCTCTTGTGATGGGGGGGGAACGTCTCTTGTGATGGAAGGGGAACAGGTCGTCTCTTGTGATGGGGGGAGGTCATCTCCTGTGATGGGGGAGCAGGTCGTCTCTTGTGATGGGGGGGAACAGGTCGTCTCTTGTGATGGCGGGGAGGTGGTCTCTTGTGATGGAGGGGGAGCAGGTCGTCTCTTGTGATGGGGGAGCAGGTCGTCTCTTGTGATGGCGGGGAGGTGGTCTCTTGTGATGGAGGGGGAGCAGGTTGTCTCTTGTGATGGGGAGCAGGTCGTCTCTTGTGATAGGGAGGGAACAGGTCGTCTCTTGTGATGGGGGGAGGTCATCTCCTGTGATGGGGGAGCAGGTCACCTCTTGTGATGGGGGGGGGGGGGACACAGGTCGTCTCTTGTGATGGGGGGAGCAGGTCGTCTCTTGTGATGGGGGAGCAGGTCGTCTCTTGTGATGGGGGGGGATGGGGGGGGAGAAGGTCGTCTCTTGTGATGGGGGAAGCAGGTCGTCTCTTGTGATGGGGGGATCAGGTCGTCTCTTGTGATGGAGGGGGAGCAGGTCGTCTCTTGTGATGGGGGGGGAGCAGGTTGTCTCTTGTGATGGGGGGAGCAGGTTGTCTCTTGTGATGGGGGGAGCAGGTCATCTCTTGTGATGGGGGGAGAAGGTCGTCTCTTGTGATGGGGGGGAGCAGGTTGTCTCTTGTGATGGGGGGGGAGCAGGTCGTCTCTTGTGATGGGGGGGGGGGGAGCAGGTCGTCTCTTGTGATGGGGGGAGCAGGTCGTCTCTTGTGATGGAGGGAGCAGGTTGTCTCTTGTGATGGGGGGAGCAGGTCATCTCTTGTGATGGGGGGGGGGAGAAGGTCGTCTCTTGTGATGGAGGGGGAGCAGGTCGTCTCTTGTGATGGAGGGGGGGGGGCAGGTTGTCTCTTGTGATGGAGGGGGAGCAGGTTTTCTCTTGTGATGGGGGGAGCAGGTTTTCTTTGTGATGGGGGGAACAGGTCATCTCTTGTGATGGGGGGGAGCAGGTCGTCTCTTGTGATGGGGGGGGGAGCAGGTCGTCTCTTGTGATGGGGGGAGCAGGTCGTCTCTTGTGATGGGGGGAGCAGGTCGTCTCTTGTGATGGGGGGGGAGCAGGTCGTCTCTTGTGATGGGGGGGGAGCAGGTCGTCTCTTGTGATGGGGGGGGAGCAGGTCGTCTCTTGTGATGGGGGGAGCAGGTCGTCTCTTGTGATACACACAGGAAATGGCAGACCTCGGGGCTGATCTTACCATCCTCAGATCCGCCCATTTCTCCGCCATGCTGGGGACACGCCCCTCTGCGATGGAGTCCGGCCAGAATCTCTGCACGGGGCGGCTCTGGGCGCTCTTCTTCTTTGTCTTTGGGGTGTCGCTGGCGCTGGAGTCCAGCATTGGTTGGAGGATTCTGCGCCTGGCATTTATAAACCTGGAATGGAGGAACGTCATTGGGTGAGCAGAGGCCCCGCCCCTCTGTGTACTATGGATGGACTACTTCCTGCCCCGCCCCTCTGTGTGCTATGGATGAGGACTTCCTGCCCACCCCTCGCCCCTCTGTGTATTATGGAAGGAGGACTTCCTGCCCCGCCCCTCTGTGTATTATGGAAGGAGGACTTCCTGCCCCGCCCCCCACCCCTCTGTGTATTATGGAAGGAGGACTTCCTGCCCCGCCCCCTGCCCCTCTGTGTATTATGGAAGGAGGACTTCCTGCCCCGCCCCCCCTGCCCCTCTGTGTATTATGGAAGGAGGACTTCCTGCCCCGCCCCTCTGTGTATTATGGAAGGAGGACTTCCTGCCCCACCCCTCTGTGTATTATGGAAGAAGAACTTCCTGCCCTGCCCCCTGCCCCTCTGTGTATTATGGAAGGAGGACTTCCTGCCCCGCCCCCACCCCTCTGTGTATTATGGAAGGAGGACTTCCTGCCCCGCCCCCTGCCCCTCTGTGTATTATGGAAGGAGGACTTCCTGCCCGCCCCCACCCCTCTGTGTATTATGGAAGGAGGACTTCCTGCCCCGCCCCCACCCCTCTGTGTATTATGGAAGGAGGACTTCCTGCCCCGCCCCTCTGTGTATTATGGAAGGAGAACTTCCTGCCCCTGCCCGCCCCTCTGTGTATTATGGAAGGAGGACTTCCTGCCCCGCCCCCCCCCCCCTCTGTGTATTATGGAAGGAGGGACTTCCTGCCCCGCCCCCCTGCGTATTATGGAAGGAGGACTTCCTGCCCCGCCCCTCCCTGTGTATTATGGAAGGAGAACTTCCTGCCCCGCCCCCCCTGCCCCTCTGTGTATTATGGAAGGAGGACTTCCTGCCCGCCCCCACCCCTCTGTGTATTATGGAAGGAGGACTTCCTGCCCGCCCCCACCCCTCTGTGTATTATGGAAGGAGGACTTCCTGCCCCGCCCCTCTGTGTATTATGGAAGGAGGACTTCCTGCCCCGCCCCCCACCCCTCTGTGTATTATGGAAGGAGGACTTCCTGCCCCGCCCCCTGCCCCTCTGTGTATTATGGAAGGAGGACTTCCTGCCCCGCCCCCTGCCCCTCTGTGTATTATGGAAGGACTTCCTGCCCCGCCCCTCTGTGTATTATGGAAGGAGAACTTCCTGCCCCGCCCCTCTGTGTATTATGGAAGGAGAACTTCCTGCCCCGCCCCCCGCCCCTCTGTGTATTATGGAAGGAGGACTTCCTGCCCCGCCCCCTGCCCCTCTGTGTATTATGGAAGGAGGACTTCCTGCCCCGCCCCTCTGTGTATTATGAAAGGAGGACTTCCTGCCCCGTCCCCCACCCTCTGTGTATTATGGAAGGAGGACTTCCTGCCCGCCCCCACCCCTCTGTGTATTATGGAAGGAGGACTTCCTGCCCCGCCCCCACCCCTCTGTGTATTATGGAAGGAGGACTTCCTGCCCGCCCCCACCCCTCTGTGTATTATGGAAGGAGGACTTCCTGCCCCGCCCCTCTGTGTATTATGAAAGGAGGACTTCCTGCCCCGTCCCCGCCCCTCTGTGTATTATGGAAGGAGGACTTCCTGCCCGCCCCACCCCTCTGTGTATTATGGAAGGAGGACTTCCTGCCCGCCCCCACCCCTCTGTGTATTATGGAAGGAGGACTTCCTGCCCCGCCCCCACCCCTCTGTGTATTATGGAAGGAGGACTTCCTGCCCGCCCCACCCCTCTGTGTATTATGGAAGGAGGACTTCCTGCCCGCCCCCACCCCTCTGTATATTATGGAAGGAGGACTTCCTGCCCCCCCCCACCCCTCTGTGTATTATGGAAGGAGGACTTCCTGCCCGCCCCCACCCCTCTGTGTATTATGGAAGGAGGACTTCCTGCCCGCCCCCCCCCTCTGTGTATTATGGAAGGAGGACTTCCTGCCCGCCCCCACCCCTCTGTGTATTATGGAAGGAGGACTTCCTGCCCCGCCCCCACCCCTCTGTGTATTATGGAAGGAGGACTTCCTGCCCGCCCCCACCCCTCTGTGTATTATGGAAGGAGGACTTCCTGCCCTGCCCCCACCCCTCTGTGTATTATGGAAGGAGGACTTCCTGCCCCGCCCCCCACGTCCCTCTGTGTATTATGGAAGGAGGACTTCCAGCCCACCCCTCTGCGTATTATGGAAGGAGGACTTCCTGCCCCACCCCTCTGCGTATTATGGAAGGAGGACTTCCTGCCCCACCCCTCTGTGTACTATAGAAGGAGGACTTCCTGCCCCGCCCCCACCCCTCTGCGTATTATGGAAGGAGGACTTCCTGCCCCACCCCTCTGTGTATTATGGAAGGAGGACTTCCTGCCCCACCCCTATGCGTATATATTATGGAAGGAGGACTTCCTGCCCCACCCCTCTGCGTATTATGGAAGGAGGACTTCCTGCCCCGCCCCCTGCCCCTCTGTGTATTATGGAAGGAGGACTTCCTGCCCCGCCCCCTGCCCCTCTGTGTATTATGGAAGGAGGACTTCCTGCCCCGCCCCCTGCCCCTCTGTGTATTATGGAAGGAGGACTTCCTGCCCCGCCCCTCTGTGTATTATGGAAGGAGGACTTCCTGCCCCACCCCTCTGTGTATTATGGAAGAAGAACTTCCTGCCCCGCCCCCTGCCCCTCTGTGTATTATGGAAGGAGGACTTCCTGCCCCGCCCCCACCGCTCTGTGTATTATGGAAGGAGGATTTCCTGCCCCGCCCCCACCCCTCTGTGTATTATGGAAGGAGGACTTCCTGCCCCGCCCCCACCGCTCTGTGTATTATGGAAGGAGGACTTCCTGCCCCCGCCCCCACCGCTCTGTGTATTATGGAAGGAGGACTTCCTGCCCGCCCCCACCACCTCTGTGTATTATGGAAGGAGGACTTCCTGCCCCCCCCCACCCCTCTGTGTATTATGGAAGGAGGACTTCCTGCCCCGCCCCCACCCCTCTGTGTATTATGGAAGGAGGACTTCCTGCCCGCCCCCCACCCCTCTGTGTATTATGGAAGGAGGACTTCCTGCCCGCCCCCACCCCTCTGTGTATTATGGAAGGAGGACTTCCTGCCCCGCCCCCACCCCTCTGTGTATTATGGAAGGAGGACTTCCTGCCCGCCCCCCCCCCTCTGTGTATTATGGAAGGAGGACTTCCTGCCCCGCCCCCACCCCTCTGTGTATTATGGAAGGAGGACTTCCTGCCCCGCCCCCCGTCCCTCTGTGTATTATGGAAGGAGGACTTCCTGCCCGCCCCTCTGTGTACTATAGAAGGAGGACTTCCTGCCCCGCCCCCTGCCCCTCTGTGTATTATGGAAGGAGGACTTCCAGCCCCACCCCTCTGCGTATTATGGAAGGAGGACTTCCTGCCCCACCCCCTGCCCCTCTGTGTATTATGGAAGGAGGACTTCCAGCCCCACCCCTCTGCGTATTATGGAAGGAGGACTTCCTGCCCCACCCCTCTGCGTATTTATGGAAGGAGGACTTCCTGCCCCGCCCCCCGTCCCTCTGTGTATTATGGAAGGAGGACTTCCTGCCCGCCCCTCTGTGTACTATAGAAGGAGGACTTCCTGCCCCGCCCCCACCCCTCTGCGTATTATGGAAGGAGGACTTCCTGCCCCACCCCTCTGTGTATTATGGAAGGAGGACTTCCTGCCCCACCCCTATGCGTATTATGGAAGGAGGACTTCCTGCCCCGCCCCCACCGCTCTGTGTATTATGGAAGGAGGACTTCCTGCCCCGCCCCCACCGCTCTGCGTATTATGGAAGGAGGACTTCCTGCCCCCCCCCCTGCCCCTCTGTGTATTATGGAAGGAGGACTTCCTGCCCCGCCCCCTGCCCCTCTGTGTATTATGGAAGGAGGACTTCTTGCCCCGCCCCTCTGTGTATTATGGAAGGAGGACTTCCTGCCCCACCCCTCTGTGTATTATGGAAGAAGAACTTCCTGCCCCGCCCCCTGCCCCACTGTGTATTATGGAAGGAGGACTTCCTGCCCCGCCCCCACCGCTCTGTGTATTATGGAAGGAGGACTTCCTGCCCCGCCCCCACCCCTCTGTGTATTATGGAAGGAGGACTTCCTGCCCCGCCCCCACCGCTCTGTGTATTATGGAAGGAGGACTTCCTGCCCCGCCCCCACCGCTCTGTGTATTATGGAAGGAGGACTTCCTGCCCGCCCCCCACCCCTCTGTGTATTATGGAAGGAGGACTTCCTGCCCCGCCCCCACCCCTCTGTGTATTATGGAAGGAGGACTTCCTGCCCCGCCCCCACCCCTCTGTGTATTATGGGTGCAGCCACCATCTCCCATATCCACATCAGTATGAATGCGGCATCGGTCCGCTCCCCACCCCCACCCAACCCCACAGCCCCACCCCGGATATCAGGGGGAGGCGGTCACTCACCAGTTGTTGACCTGAAGTAAAGTCAGATTTGTCTGAGCTGCAATCTGCTTCTTCTCATCCTCTGTGGGGTACGGATGCTGCAAGGAGGGAGGAGGACAGGTAAGTAGGAGGACAGGTAAGTGGAAGGAGGGGGGACAGGTAAGTAGAAGGACAGGTAAGGAGGAGGACAGGTAAGTACAAGGACAAGTAAGTAGAAGGACAGGTAAGTTGGACAGGTAAGTACAAGGACAGGTAAGTTGGACAGGTAAGTACAAGGACAGGTAAGTTGGACAGGTAAGTTGGACAGGTAAGGTACAGTACAAGGACAGGTAAGTTGGACAGGTAAGTTGGACAGGTAAGTTGGACAGGTAAGTTGGACAGGTAAGTACAAGGACAAGTAAGTAGATGGACAGGTAAGTAGAAGGACAGGTAAGTTGGACAGGTAAGTACAAGGACAGGTAAGTAGAAGGACAGGTAAGTTGGACAGGTAAGTACAAGGACAGGTAAGTAGGACAGGTAAGTACAAGGACAGGTAAGTACAAGGACAAGTAGATGGACAGGTAAGTAGGAGGACAGGTAAGTTGGACAGGTAAGTAGGAGAACAGGTAAGTAGGACAGGTAAGTGGAAGGAGGACAGGTAAGGAGGAAGACAGGTAAGTATAAGGACAGGTAAGTAGGAGGACAGGTAAGTACAAGGACAGGTAAGTACAAGGACAGGTAAGTACAAGAACAGGTAAGTAGGACAGGTAAGTTGGACAGGTAAGTAGGTAGGACAGGTAAGTAGGACAGGTAAGTAGGACAGGTAAGTACAAGTAGGACAGGTAAGTAGAAAGACAGGTAAGTAGTAGGACAGGTAAGTAGTAGGACAGGTAAGTAGTAGGACAGGTAAGTAGAACAGGTAAGTACAAGTAGGACAGGTAAGTAGAAAGACAGGTAAGTACGAGGACAGGTAAGTAGGACAGGTAAGTACAAGGACAGGTAAGTTGGACAGGTAAGTAGAAGGACAGGTAAGTTGGACAGGTAAGAAGGAGGACAGGTAAGTTGGACAGGTAAGTATGACAGGTAAGTAGGAGGACAGGTAAGGAGGACAGGTAAGTGGAAGGAGGACAGGTAAGGAGGAAGACAGGTAAGTATAAGGACAGGTAAGTAGGAGGACAGGTAAGTACAAGGACAGGTAAGTACAAGGACAGGTAAGGTACAAGGACAGGTAAGTAGGACCGGTAAGTTGGACAGGTAAGCAGGAGGACAGGTAAGTAGGACAGGTAAGTACAAGTAGGACAGGTAAGTAGAAGGACAGGTAAGTAGAAGGACAGGTAAGTAGGAGGGACAGGTAAGTAGGAGGACAGGTAAGTAGAACAGGTAAGTACAAGTAGGACAGGTAAGTAGAAAGACAGGTAAGTACGAGGACAGGTAAGTAGGACAGGTAAGTACAAGGACAGGTAAGTAGGACAGGTAAGTTGGACAGGTAAGAAGGAGGACAGGTAAGTAGGAGGACAGGTAAGTTGGACAGGTAAGTTGGACAGGTAAGTAGGAGGACAGGTAAGTACAAGGACAGGTAAGTACAAGGACAGGTAAGTTGGACAGGTAAGTAGGAGGACAGGTAAGTAGGACAGGTAAGGAGGAGGACAGGTAAGTAGAAGGACAGGTAAGTTGGACAGGTAAGTAGGAGGACAGGTAAGTAGGAGGACAGGTAAGTAGGACAGGTAAGGAGGAGGACAGGTAAGTAGGACAGGTAAGTTGGACAGGTAAGTAGGAGGACAGGTAAGTAGGACAGGTAAGTAGGAGGACAGGTAAGTAGGACAGGTAAGTAGGACAGGTAAGTAGGACAGGTAAGTAGGACAGGTAAGTAGAAGGACAGGTAAGTAGGACAGGTAAGTAGAAGGTACGGCCCTCCTCTGATGCAGCTGCAGGTGATAGGTGGAGAGGAGCTCTCTATATTAGGAGATCCATCTCAGGCAGCAGGTGGCGCCATACACAGCACATCACACCTCTGCAGGGTACAATACAGTGACTTGTAATCCCGTCTGGCCAGTCCTCCAATTCACACCTCTGCCAATCCCTCTGATACTTCCCCGGTCAGCTCCCTGCTCATTGGACAGAGGGAACAATGCAGAGTCACTGTCCAATGAGGAGGCAGGGAGGTGACACAGGAAGCTGAACTACCAAACCAGGTAATGTGTGTGTCACCTGCCTGGCTGTGTGTGAATCAGAAGACTGGATGGACAGACACTTTGGTAGCTGATGCAGTGAATGTATCCAATGCTCCAATCCCTGACGATGCTCTCTGGTAACGAAACATGTTGAGGGGAGCTTAATAGGTGACGTCATCACGCTAGCTGACGGTCAGAAGTGTGGTGATTTGTGTTCATTTCATCGGTGAATGCTCCAATCCCCTGACGGTGCTCTCTGGTAACGAAACATGTTGAGGGGAGCTTAATAGGTGAGTCATCACGCTAGCTGACGGTCAGAAGTGTGGTGATTTGTGTTCATTTCATCGGTGAATGCTCCAATCCCCTGACGGTGCTCTCTGGTAACGAAACATGTTGGGGGGAGCTGCATGAGGAGACCAAACACCCCTCTGTATTACCTGTATCAGTGGGACTGCCCCCCCCCCTCTGTATTACCTGTATCAGTGGGACTGCCCCCCCCCCTCTGTATTACCTGTATCAGTGGGACTGCCCCCCCCCTCTGTATTACCTGTATCAGTAGAACTGGGAGTCTGTAGAGACTGGCTCAGCCCTGAACCTGTAAACTGAAGGTCACAATGCAGAGCCCGGGGTCCAAAGGTCACATGAACTCCGGCTCGGCCCTGAAGGTCACAATGCAGAGCCCGGGGTCCAAAGGTCACATGAACTCCGGATCGGCCCTGAAGGTCACAATGCAGAGCCCGGGGTCCAAAGGTCACATGAACTCCGGATCGGCCCTGAAGGTCACAATGCAGAGCCCGGGGTCCAAAGGTCACATGAACTCCGGATCGGCCCTGAAGGTCACAATGCAGAGCCCGGGGCCCAAAGGTCAATTGTCCATTCCAGGCGGGTCCAGGTACAGCTCCAGCAGACGGATGAAGAATCCGCAGGAATGAAATGAACAAAGAAGACGAGTGAGGACGGCCTAGACGTTTCCCAGAAGTGATCTCCAGCCTCCCAGGACACTAGTATAAAACAGGGCATGCTGGGTAGAGGAGGGGCTATACAGGGCATGCTGGGTAGAGGAGGGGCTATACAGGACATGCTGGGTAGAGGAGGGGCTATACAGGGCATGCTGGGTAGAGGAGGGGCTATACAGGGCATGCTGGGTAGAGGAGGGGCTATACAGGGCATGCTGGGTAGAGGAGGGGCTATACAGGGCATGCTGGGTAGAGGAGGGGCTATACAGGACATGCTGGGTAGAGGAGGGGCTATACAGGGCATGCTGGGTAGAGGAGGGGCTATACAGGGCATGCTGGGTAGAGGAGGGGCTATACAGGGCATGCTGGGTAGAGGAGGGGCTATACAGGGCATGCTGGGTAGAGGAGGGGCTATACAGGACATGCTGGGTAGAGGAGGGGCTATACAGGGCATGCTGGGTAGAGGAGGGGCTATACAGGACATGCTGGGTAGAGGAGGGGCTATACAGGACATGGGGTAGAGGAGGGGCTATACAGGGCATGCTGGGTAGAGGAGGGGCTATACAGGGCATGCTGGGTAGAGGAGGGGCTATACAGGACATGCTGGGTAGAGGAGGGGCTATACAGGGCATGCTGGGTAGAGGAGGGGCTATACAGGGCATGCTGGGTAGAGGAGGGGCTATACAGGGCATGCTGGGTAGAGGAGGGGCTATACAGGGCATGCTGGGTAGAGAGGAGGGGCTATACAGGGCATGCTGGGTAGAGGAGGGGCTATACAGGGCATGCTGGGTAGAGGAGGGGCTATACAGGGCATGCTGGGTAGAGGAGGGGCTATACAGGGCATGCTGGGTAGAGGAGGGGCTATACAGGGCCTACTATTCTCCTGCAGGTGGCAGTATATCCCGACTATCTTCATTCCTGTGCCCCTCAATGGGTGAGAAAGAAATGGTGATCAAGGCACCCATACAATACATAGGAGGGGGTGTCCCCGGGACTCACCCCAATGTGCTGGAAGAGCCAGGACCTCATGACGTTGGTGGCTTGTTTAGGGAGGACTCCGCGCTTGTTCTTCCCAGAGCCGTCATCTGAGTGTAGAAGGCCCAAATCTTGGCTGAGCTGTAACTGTAACTGCACAGGAGAGAGAGGAGAGTCAGGGGGGCGGAAACGAGTCAGGAGGGTGGAAACACACAATGGGGGGGGGGGAGAGTCAGGGGGGCGGAAACGAGTCAGAAGGGTGGAAACACACAATGGGGGGGGGGGGGGGGGGGGGGGGGGGTGAGAGTCAGGGGGGCGGAAACGAGTCAGGAGGGTGGAAACACACAATGGGGGGGGGGAGAGTCAGGGAGCCGGAAACGAGTCAGGAGGGTGGAAACACACAATGGGGGGGGGGGGGGGAGAGTCAGGGGGGGGGAAACGAGTCAGGAGGGTGGAAACACACAATGGGGGGGGGGGGGGGGGAGAGTCAGGGGGGCGGAAACGAGTCAGGAGGGTGGAAACACACAATGGGGGGGGGGGGGGGAGAGTCAGGGGAGGGAAACGAGTCAGGAGGGTGGAAACACACAATGGGGGGGGGGGAGGAGTCAGGGAGCCGGAAACGAGTCAGGAGGGTGGAAAACACACAATGGGGGGGGGGGGAGAGTCAGGGGGGGGGAAACGAGTCAGGAGGGGGGAAACACAAATGGGGGGGGGGGGGGGGAGAGTCAGGGGGGCGGAAACGAGTCAGGAGGGTGGAAACACACACAATGGGGGGGGGGGGGGGGGGAGAGTCAGGGGGGTGGAGGGAAAACGAGTCAGGAGGGTGGAAAAACACACACACAATGGGGGGGGGGGGAAAGTGGAGAGTCAGGGGGGCGGAAACACACAATGGGGGGGGGAGAGGAGAGTCAGGGGGGTGGAAGCACACAAGGGGGGGGGGAGGAGAGTCAGAGGGGGGGGAAACACACAATGGGGGAGGGGGGAGGAGTCAGGTGGGGGGGGGAGGGGGAGAGTCAGGGGGGTGGAAAACACACAATGGAGGGGGAGAGGAGAGTTGGGGGGGGTGGAAACACAATGGGGGGGAGTGGAGAGTCAGGGGGTGGTGGAAACACAATGGGGGGGGGGGGAGTCAGGTGGGTGGAAACACACACACTGGGGGGGGGGGGGGGAGAGAGATCAGGTGGGTGGGAGGGGGAGAGTCAGGGGGGTGGAAACACACAAGGGGGGGGGGAATGGAGTCAGAGGGGTGGAAAACACACAATGGGGGGGAGAGGAGAGTCAGGGGGGTGGAAACACACAATGGGGGGCTGTGGCTGTGAGGAGGACACAATGGGACCCACCCGAGAGTTCTGTATGCGGATGTTGGCAGGGGAGAGGAGATTTATCGGGGGGGGGGAGGGGAGAGGAGAGTCAGGGGGGTGGAAACACACAAATGGGGGGGGAGGAGATCTGGGGGGTGGAAACACACAATGGGGGGCTGTGAGGAGGACACAATGGGACCCACCCGAGTGTTCTGTATGCAGATGTTGGCGGGGGAGAGGAGATTCGTCGGGGGGGGGGGGAGAGGAGACTCAGGAGCGTGGAGATACACAATGGGGGGCTGTGGCTGTGAGGAGGAGGACACAGTTGGACCCACCTGGGAGATCTGTATGCGGATTTTGGCGTGGGAGAGGAGATTGGGGGGGTGGGAGCACACAATGGGGGGCTGTGGCTGCGAGGAGGAGGACACAGTTGGACCCACCTGGGAGATCTGTATGCGGATTTTGACGAGGGAGAGGAGATTGGGGGGGGGGGGGGTTGGGGTTGGAAGCAAACAATGGGGGGAGAGGAGAGTCAGGAGGGTGGAGACACACAATGGGGGGCTGTGGCTGCGAGTGGGACCCACCTGGGAGTTCTGTATGCGGATGTTGGTTGGGGAGAGGAGATTCGGGGGGCGGGGGGAGCAGATTCGGGAGGGGGGGGGGAGAGGAGATTCGGGGGGGGGGGAGAGGAGATTCGGGGGGTGGAAGCACACAGTGGGACCCACCTGGGAGTTCTGTATGAGGGTGTTGGCGAGGGAGAGGAGAGGAGATTCGGGGGGGGAATGGAGAGGAGATTCGGGGGGGGGGGAGATTCGGGGGGGGTGGAAGCACACAATGGGACCCACCTAGGAGTTCTGTATGCGGATGTTGGTGGGGGAGAGGAGATTCGGGGGGGGGGGGGGGGGGAGCACACAGCGGGACCCACCTGGGAGTTCTGTATGCGGATGTTGGTTGGGGAGAGGAGATTCGGGGGGCGGGGGAGCAGATTCGGGAGGGGGGGGGGGAGAGGAGATTCGGGGGGGGGGGGAGGAGATTCGGGGGGTGGAAGCACACAGTGGGACCCACCTGGGAGTTCTGTATGAGGGTTGTTGGCGAGGGAGAGGAGAGGAGATTCGGGGGGGGAATGGAGAGGAGATTCGGGGGGGGGGGGGGGAGATGATTCGGGGGGGGTGGAAGCACACAATGGGACCCACCTAGGAGTTCTGTATGCGGATGTTGGTGGGGGAGAGGAGATTCGGGGGGGGGGGGGGGGGGGGTGGGGGGGGGAGGCGGGACCCACCTGGGAGTTCTGGGGATGCGGATATTGGCGGGGGGATGGACGAGAGATCGGGGTGGGGAGAGGAGATTGGGGGGGGGGTTTGGTTGCACACAGCAGGACCCACCTGGGAGTTGTCTGGATGCGGATGTTGGCTGGGGTGGAGGAGGATTCTGGGGGGGGGAGAGGAGATTCGGGGGGGTTACACACGGTTGGACCCACCTGGGAGTTTCTGGATGCGGGATGTTGGCGGGGGATGGGGGAGAGGAGATTCGGGGGGGAGGGGGGGGGGGAAGAGGGGATTCTGGTGGGGAGAGGATGATTCGGGGGGGGGTTACACACAGTTGGACCCACCTGGGAGTTCTGGAATGACGGATGTTGGCGGGGGAGGGGGAGAGCGCCTGGGCCACCACCTGTCCCTGTGGGGTGACAACTGTCAATGGCTGGTATACAGCACCCCCTAGAGGAGAGAAGGAGACACGGCACGCGTTGAACATTGAATCACAGGGGGACAAACCACATGGAAGGTGGCAGTCAATCGTTCCTACCGGCCACTGTCGCCACGGCAACATTTCCTTGCTGGAGAGCGGATGCCGGGACCACGCTTCCCTGGGGACTGAGAGCTCCGCCTGAACCGCTCTGTGGAGGAAGAAGAAAAGAGGCCAATTCAGAGCAAGCAAATGATAGGAAATACCAGAATGGAGTACGGCGCCGGCTGGGGCTGGTAACCAATGGTATTACCTGTATGGGGGGAGTACGGCGCCGGTCGGGGGCTGGTACCATTGTGTTACATTTCTGGGTACGGCCCGGTCCGGTACCACTGGTGTTAATGTATGGGGGGAGGTACTGGGCACGGTCTCGGAGCTGCGGTTACCAACTGGTGTTACCGGTATGGGGGAGTACGGCGCGGTCAGGGTGGCGGGTGGGTTGGGGGTACGCTACCACTTGGCTATTAACCTGTTATGGGGGAGAGTACGGCCCGGTCGGGGGATCGTGGAGGAGTACCTAACTGGTTTTTACCTGTATGGGGGATGTAGTTCGGCACCGGTCGGGGGCGGTTACCACTGGTGATTACCTGTTATGGGGGGGAGTAAGGCGGCGCTCGGTTCCGGGGACTGGCAGGTGGAGGGGGGTCCCACTGGTATTACCTGTATGGGGGAGTACGGCTAGGTCGGGGGTCTGTGAGCGTGGTTACCACTGGTATTACCTGTATGGGGGAGAACGGTTCGGAGTCCAGGGGGCGGGCGGGTCGTTACTACCATCTGGTGATTACCTTTATGGGGGAAGTTACGAGGGCCCGGTCGGTACCACTTGGTGTTATACATGTATGGGAGAGTGGTAACCGGCGACCGGTACGGCGGGGCTCGGGGGTACCATGGTGTTACCTGTTTTGGGGTAGTTACGGCTACGGTCTGGTTTGGGCACTGGGGGGGGTACCACCACGGCGTACTTAACCATAGTTATGGGGCTGAAAGTGTACGGCCCGGGCTGGGGGCGAATACGTGGTACCACTGGTGTTACTCTGTATGTGGGACGAGTTCGAGCCACGAGCCCGGTCTGGTACGCCAAGTGTGTATTACCTGTATGGGGGAGAGTTACGTACTTCAAGTGTCACGGTAACAACTGGTATTACCTGTTATGGGGGAGGAGAGGAGAGAATCGGCTCACAGGGTCGGGGGGCGTTAGGGGTACCAAACTGGGTATGACATGTATGGGGTGAAGTAGTACGGGCCCGGTCTGGGTAACCACTGGTAATTACCTGTATGGGGGTACGGAGTACGGCTACCGAGTCGGGGGGCAGGGTACCACTGGAGAAGTTACCTGTATGGGGTAGGAGTACAGGCCCTTGAGTCGGGTCGGGGGCAGGTTGGGTACCACTGGTGCTACCTGTATGTGGGAGTCGGCCCGGTTCGGGGGCATGGTGGTGTACCACATAGGTGTTTACCCTTGTATGGCGGGAGTTTACGGCCCAGTCTGGTACCACTGGTTGTTACCTGTATGAGTGGGAGTAGTACGGCCACGGCTTGCGGGGCGAGTTTGGGGGTACCACTGAGTGTTTACTGTCATGGGGGGAGTTACGGCCCGGTACGGGGGCGAGTTAACCAACTGGTGATTTCCTGTATGGAGGAGTACGGCCCTCGGTTGGGGGCGCGGGGGTGGTACCACTGAGGGTATTTACCTGTATGGGGTAGTTCAGGGAAGTACCGGTCGGTCGGGGGCTAAGGTTAACCATGGGTGTTTACCCTGTTATGGGGGTAGTACGGCCCCAGGTCCTGGTCCTCATGGTCGTTACATGTATTATGGGGGAAGTACGGCACCGGCTGGGGGCAGGTTGCGGTACGCCAACTGAGTTGTTACTTGTATGGTGGAGTACGGCCCGCGTCTAGGGGGGCGAAGAGGTACCCACTGTGTATTACCTGTATCGGGGGAGAGTAAAGAGTACCGGCACCGGGGTCTCGGGGTATGCGGTGGTACCACTTGGTATTACCTGTATTGGGGGGGGGAGTACGGCGGCACGGTTTTCGGGGGGCTGGTAACCACTGGTATTACCTGTATGCGGGGAGTAGTACGGCTCCCGGTCGGGAGGCAGGGGGGGGTGGGTGGTTACCAACTGGTATTACCTGTAATGGAGGTGAGTACGGCATCAGGGCGACTCCTGGTCAGGGGCGCCGGTACCACTGGTAATATTACCTGTATGGGGAGAGATACTGGCGGCAGGTCAGGGGGCCTCAATTTAATTGTTGGTGGTACCACTGGTGTTACCTGTATGGGGGGAGTAACGGCTCTTCCGGTCGGGGGCTGGTACACTGGTGTTACATGTATGGTGGGGGTACGGACCGGCTGGGGTGGATCATGTAATCCACTGGTAGATTACCTGCTTTGGGGGAGTATGGCCCAGGTCGGGCGGCAAATGATCTTCTGGATTCCACACTGGTAGTTACCTGTATGGGGGACAGTAACGGCTCCCGGTCGGAGGTGAGGCACGTGGTACCACTGGTGTTTACACTGTATGGGGGAGTTACGTGCTACCGGTTCGGGGGCTGGCTAAGTGGGGTACCCACTGGTGATACCTAGTATGGGGGTGGGGGGGGGAGGGATGAGTATGCTGCCCGGTCGGGGGCGGGTACCAATGGTATCACTGTAATGGGGGTAATACGGCAGTGATTTACGGGGAGTACGGCGGGCGGTTCGGTTAACGGGTACCACTGGGTGTTACCTGTATGGGGGGATTACGGCCCGGCTGGTGGCGACTTGGTACCACCTGGTTGTTACCTGTATGGGGGAGTAAGGCCCGGGTTCGTGGTCCGCTGCTCAGTAGCAGGTCTCAGCTGTTCATCTTGGTCTATCAGGCAGGCAATTATATAGGGCTATCACAAAGTCATTACAGAGTTCATTGACTTTTTCTTTTTCGTATTTTCTTTTTTTTTTTTTTTGTTCTTCTCCATACTCCCCCCACCCCTCTCTCCCTCACTCCACAGCAGGTGAAATGCGGAGAGAACCCTGGAATATGGCCTTCACCATCTACATGACAGAGGAGGGGGGAGGTCCATTCAACATGTGTACTACAATACACCTCCACATCGTATTCATGTATATTCTCATCCCCTCAGCTGCTGAGTCATGTGACAGGGGAGAAAGAAGAAGAGAAAGCTCAGTCACTCTTTCCACTCATGGGCATTAGGCCTTACGTACTACCAAGCTTGTCCGTCTCGGGGTCTGGTACCCGTAGATGGAAAGAAGTCCTGATCCCCTCCTTGTGTTGTCTCCTGTACAAAGAGGTCTCTTCAATAAATGTCCCAAGGTCGATGCTGGCCTGAGGGTGGTTCCCTTACCGAAACCCTGGGTGCAACCCTCACACATTCTCGAAGCGCAAGAGCCAGGAGCGGGAAGGGCGAAAAGAGGGGGTGCCTGGAGGAGAACGGACAAAACACCGGGCGTGATGTGAGTGAGGGGAAATACCACACCTTTGTAGTCCTCCATAAACCAAGCTGGAGCTTCACTGTGGGACACAGGAAATTTCAGGGGGTTATACTTGCCGCCCTACCAGGAGGTCACTGGCATATCAAAGCAAACTATAACCCCTCACCCCCAATTCATCCCCAACCCCCACTCCCATTAGGAGGGAGGGGGGACACTCAGGACATTATTCCTGGTGTAATAACACAAAAGAAAAGATTCTTGTCCTGTCCCATCAAATCTCTGGGGGTGGTGGGAGGTTTGTACCCTTCTGGGCGGGAGGGTGGTTTGTCACCCTCTGAGGGTGTGGGTGGTGGTTTGTACCCTCTGGGGGTGAGTTGCTTTTGTACCTTCTGTTGTGTGAGATGCTTTGTACCCTCTGGGGGTGGGTTGCTTTGTACCCTCATATAGGTGGTGGGTTGCTTTGTACCCTCTGGGGGTGGGTTGGCTTTGTACCCTCTGGGGGTAGGGTTTGCTGTTGTTACCCTTGGGGGGTGGGTTGCTTTGTACCTCTTGGGGGTGGGGTGCTTTGTCCCTCTGGGGCGGTGGGTTGGTTTGTACCCATCTGGGGGTGGGTTGCTGGTTTTGTACCCTTGCTGGGGTTGGGTTGGTTTGTACCCTCTGGTGGTGAGTTGCGTTTGTAACCTCTGGGGGTGGGTTGGTTTGTACCCTCTGGGGGTGGATGGTTTGTTCTGGGGAGTTTTTGTTCCCTCTAGGGGGTGGGTTGGTTTGTTAACCCTCTGGGGGTGGATTGGTTTGTACCCTTTTGGGGGTGGGTGGTTGAGTGGTTTGTAACTCTGGCGGAGTGGGTTGTTTGTACCCTCTCGGGGGTGGATGGTTTGTATCCCTCTTGGGGTGGGTGGATTGTACCTCTGGGGGTGGGTTGAGTGTGTACCCTCTCGGGGGTGGCTGTGGGGTTGGACCCTCTGGGGGTGGTGGTTTTGTACCCTCCAGGGGTGGATGGTTTGTACCCTCTGATGGTGAGTTGCTTTGTACCCTCTGGGGGGTGGGTTTGGTTTGTTACCCTCTGGGGGTGGGTTGGTTTTTAGCCTCTCTGGGGGTGGGTGGTTTGGTTTGTTACCCTCTGGGGCGTTGGTTGTTTGTACCTTGGGGTGTGTGGTTGGTTTGTTACCCTCTGGGGGTGGCGTTGGTTTGTACCCTTGGCGTGGTGGCGCTAGGTTTGTACCTCTATGAAGGGGTGGGGTGGTTTGTACTCCTCCAGGTGGTGGATAGGTTCGATGTACGACCCTTCTGCATGTGAGTTGTTTTGTACTCTGGGGGGCTGGATGTTGGTTTTGTACTCCTCTGGGGGTGGGTTATGGTTTGTACCCTCTGGGGTGGTGGGAGGGTTGTACCTCTGGGGGTGGCGTTGCGTTTGTACCTCCGGGGAGGTGGATGGTTTGATTACCCTTCTTGGGGTTGGATGTTTGTACCCTCATGGGGGTGTGTTGCTTTGTTCCCTTGGGGGTGGGTTCGGTTGTACCCCTCTGGTGGGTGGGGAGGTTTGTACACTATGGGGGTTGCGATGATTATGTACCTCTGGGGAGGTGAGGTGGTTTGTTTTTTCTTTCTTTTTTCTTTGTGGTTTTCCGTGTTTGTTTGGTTTTTTTTTTTTTTTACCATCTGGGGGTGGGTTGGTTTGTACCCTCCGGGGGTGGATGGTTTGTGTTAACCTTGGGGGTGGGTGGTTTGTACCCTCTGGGGGGTGGGAGGTTTGTACCCTATGGGGGTGGGAGGTTTGTACCTCTGGGGGTGGGTGGTTTGTTCACTCTGGGGTTGGGTTGGTTGGTTTGTACCCCTCTGGGGGTTTGGGAGGTTTGTTAACCCTATGGGGCCGTGGGTGGTTTGTAACCGCCTCTGGGGGTGGGGTGGTTTTGTACCCTTCTGGGGGTGGGTGGTTTGGTTTGTACCCTTTTGGGGGTGGGAGGTTTGAAACCCCTTTATGGGGGTGGGTTGGTTTGTACCTAACGTGGGGAGGACGGAGGTCAGTTTTTTCCCGGGGTTTTTGGAGGAAAGAGGGGAAGGGGTAGGCAATTCAACGGGCAGTTTTTGTTCGGGGGGGGGGGGGGGCATAAAAATGGGTGGCTTTTTCCCCCGTGGGGAAAGGTAAGGGGTAATACAATGGGCAGTTTTTTCCCCCAAAGGGGGGGGGAGGGGACTTTAAAATGGGCAGTTTTTTACCCGTGGGGGGGGGGCCCTAAAATTGGGAAAGTTTGTCCCCCAGTGGGGGGAGGGACATAAAATTGGGCAGTTTTTTCCCCAGGGGGGGGGGAGGGACAAAACAATGGGCTTTTTTTGTACCCAAAAGGGGGTGGGTTTACAATGGGGCCATTTTGAAAACCCAGTGTTGGGGGGAAGGGGAAATACAAGGGGCCCGTTTGTCCCCAGTTTTGGGGGGAGGGGATTTTTAAAAATGGGCAGTTTGTCCCACAGGGGGAAATTTGGGGGGTTTCCCTTGGGAAAAGTTTGTACCAAAAAGGGGAAGTAGGGGATACAAGGGGCCCAAGTTTGTACCCAGTGGGGGGGGTTTTGGGGGTTTCCCAAGGGCAGTTTTTTCCCCAAAGTTGGGGGGAGGGGGCGGGGGTTAGGGGCATAAAATTGGGCAGTTTTTTACCCAGTGTGGGGGTAGGGGCATAAAAAGGGGCCCAGTTTTTTACCCAGAGGGAGTAAGGGGCTTTGCAATGGGCAGTTTGTCCCCCAAAAAAGGGAGTAGGGGCTTCAAGGGGGCCCAGTTTTTTCCCAAAAGGGGGTTAGGGGCATACAATGGGCAGTTTGTACCCAGGGGGGGTTTAGGGGCATACAATGGACTTAGGGTACCCGTGGGGGGGGAGGGGCATAAAATTGGGCGGGTTTTGTACCCAGTGGGGGGTTGGGGTGGGGGTAAAATTTGGGCAGCTTTTTACCCAGGGGGGGGGTGGGGGGTTTGGGGGGCTTACAATGGGCGTTTTTGTCCCCAAAAGGGGTAGGGGAATGAAATTTTGGGCGTTTCCCCCCCAGGGGGAGTA